CAGCAGGAAACAGATTTTGTCCCTCTTGTTGCTTGCTCCGTGTTAGTGGTTGGGACCCTACTGTCTTTTACATCTCTCCTGAACGATGCCAGTTTGGGTTACATGCAGTCCTTTTAAACTGAGTGTCTATGCATTCTTACTAGAATAGGAGATTAAAATACAATATGATAGTGAGGTACCTGGTTTGATATGCAGATGTTTATGCATGACATTCAGTGCTCTCACAGGAGGGCTAATATTGACCAGCTTCAGGGTTTGATCCTTGGTCCCTAAGTCTTCTCTCCCCTTTCCTCCTCCCTACCCGCCAGACCTATCCTCCATGGCTTCAAATACTACGTACCTGCCAGGGGTCCTCAAATTTGCATCTCTAGAGCTCTCCTCTGAGTCTGGACCTGCTTATCCAACGTCCTGCTTGACATCTCTGCTTGGATGACTCATAGACATCTCACACTCAACTAGTCATCAGGCCTTTGCATCTGCTCTTCCTTCATCTGCCCCTCTTAGGAAATAGCACCTCCACCCACCCAATTAGAAAATCTGGGAATGATCCTTGACACATCCTTATCCCTCAGCCCCCAAACCCAGATGTCTACCCAGTCACCAAGTTCTCGTAGTTCTTCTTTTTTTTTTTTAATTTATTTATTTAAATTTACTTATTTTTGGCTGTGTTGGGTCTTCGTTGCTGCGTGTGGGTTTTGTCTAGTTGCAGCGAGCGGGGGGCTACTCTTCGTTGCGGTGCACGGGCTTCTCATCACGGTGGCTACTCTTCGTTGTGGTGCACGGGCTTCTCATCACTGTGGCTTCTCTTTTTGCGGAGCACTGGCTCTAGGCGTGCAGGCTTCAGTAGTTGCAGCACGCGGGCTCAGTAATTGTGGCTCAGGGGCTGTAGAGCACAGGCTCAGTAGTTGTGGCGCACGGGCTTAGTTGCTCCACGGCATGAGGGATCTTCTCGGACCAGGGCTCGAACCTGTGTCCCCTACATTGGCAGGAAGATTCTTAACCACTGCACCACCAGGGAAGCTCTCTCATAGTTCTTCTAATACATGCCTTGAGACATCCAACTGCTCTCACTCTCACTCTCTCTCCACCCACCACCACTCCAAGCAGGGCACCACCCTCTTTCACCTGAGCTACGATCATGAGAGCCTCCCAACTGGTCTCAGAGCTTCTTGCCCCCTGCCCAGCCATTCTTGGCTCCCAATATCAGCCAAAGCCACAGATAAAACATAAACTTTGCATGTCACTTCCCTGCTTGAAAACCTTTTGCTTTTAGGATGAAGTTCAAAATTTTTAGCATGCCCTCAGGGCCCTGATCTAGCCCCTAGCAATCTCTTAAGCTTCATATGTTCCCCTCTCTCCCCTCCTCTACACTGTGTTCTTTCCCACCTTGCGCCCTTCGGGCACAGTGTTCCCTCTTTTGGAAACATTCCCCTACAAACCCTCCATTCCCTTCACCAGCTTTATTCCTACTCATCCTGTAAGCCTCACCATAAATGTCATTTCTTCAGGAAAGATTTCCTTGACACTCCCAGGCAAGAAAGTACCTCATACTTTTTCTTCATGTCATTTAGCACAGTTGTGATTATATAGTTATTTGTGTGGTTGGTTCATGAAAGTAGCAACCAGGTGTGTTTCATTCACCACTCTCTTCCTAGTGCCAAATGTATTGCCTGGCATATAACAAGGACTCAGTAAGTACTGGTAGGAAGACTCAATAATAGTGCTAATAGTAATAATAAATAGAACCGGTAATAAATGTAACTAAGAAAGCTGAGCAATGTGGAACTATTTATGTAATAAGCAAAACAGCCTTAGCAAATATTTCCCGCATTACTTATTTTTTCCAGTGATTTGTATTCCTAGCAGTTTTTTTTCAAGTGGTTAATGTACTGTCAGGAATATCTCAATTTCTTTTTCAGTTAGAAAATAGAATGAGGCAAGTTATCTATAGTACCCACTCTCTCTGCAAAGGTTTTCCAGGTTGAAGTACATCCCATTAGTGATTTTGCTGACCCACTTATTTATTTCCAAAATATCTAGCATTGGCACTCATTACAGCAAAGGCAGCCCAGCCATCGGTTTTCTCTCCCTCCTGTGAACTTGCACAACATTTGTGCTTCTTTCTGTGGCTCTCGTACCCTCTTCCTGGCATCGCAGTCATTTGTTAACGTGACTTCTGTCCTTATCAAGGAGCTTGGAGCTCATCATACTGCACTTAATATCGGGAATGTCAGCCCTTGGGCCTCTAGAGCCCAGATTCATGCACATAAGCCACTTTACAGTTTCAGAATCTGAAATTACAGTATTTTATTATTCATGTGGACTTTTCTTGACCCTAGATAGGTGATGTCAGCTCCTGAGAAACATTCCTTCTTTTAAAATAAAAGGGAGTCCTGTGTCTAAGGCAGTGTGAGAATGATCACTGAGTGAAATAACGACAGCCCTGGCAGCCTGAAAATTGTTTGCCTGGAGGAAGAGTCCAAGTTATTGACTCAGAGCACACTGAGAAAGCGCAAATATAAAAAGCATTGTGTGATATGTTGTGTTACAATGAGGGATGTGCTAATCCGGTAAAGAAAAAAACTTTTAAAATTGTTATAATATTTTGAAGTGACATTAATCACTCTTCTAAGGCAAACAAACTCTTATTGCAGTAAATACAATGTACCAGAAACAACCACAGGGAGAAGATGCCTCTGGGAGGGCAGAATGTAGAGAACTTCTTTATATATAGCAAGTGGTGTAGTTGTCTTTGAAATTACCTGTAGTTTAAGTCCTGGGCTGCATTTCCAACCTGTTCTATAGATTGAGAATCATCACTCTCCTTAGTAACCACTCTTAATAATAAAATCCTTATTTTTTTTTTTTTTTTTTTTTTTTTTTGGCTGCACCACGTAGCTTGTGGGTTCTTAGTTCCCCAACCAAGGATCGAACCCAGGGCCCCGGCAGTGAGAATGCCAAGTCCTGACCACTAGACCACCAAGGAATTCCCTAAAATCCTAATTCTACTTTAAATGTTCTATCTTAATTAAGACCTCATATTTGATTATCTTAATTAAGACATCGTGTTTTCAGGTAAGTTTAGAAAGTATAGTTAGTCCACAACTCTTCACCTGTCTTCCTGTTCTAGGGATGCTACAACTCAGCAGGGTGGCTGGATCACTTACCAAAATCCAGCAGTGTTGTCCAGGCTCTCATTTGTTAGAAATTCATATTTGCCTATTTCTTTCTGGTTTAAATGTATATCTTATGCATTAACTCATCTGTGCTATCCATGCCTGGA